GATATAGCTGAATTTTCTTAAGGATTTGTTTTACTAATGTTATTGTTTGTGTGTATGAGGGGTGCTGACAGAGACCAGAAGAGGGTACCCAATCTCCTAGACCTGGAGTTGCAGGTGCTTGTAACCCGATGGAAACCAAAAGCTCTCGATTTTCTTCAGAACAACAGGCATTCTAACTATGGAACTATCTCTCTTGGCCCCCGATAGTACTTAAAGCTACAATCTTCCGTCTTAGGGTTGCCTTCATTTTAAGTTTTTGTATATTGTGTTTTCCTTTTCATTTAATTCTTGAAAATTTCTAACCCCTTCTTGATTTCTTCAATGACTCATCATTTAACAAGTGTCATTTAATCCCCATGAGTCTGTATATTTCTATAGTTTCTCTTGCTATTGATTTTTAGCCTTATTAAACTGTGATCTGATAAAATACTAGGCATTATTCCAATTCTTCGGTATGTGTTGAGATTTGATTTGTGTCCTAGTTTGTGATAAATTCTAGAGAAAGTTCCATAGGTTTCTGAGAAGAATATGCATTCTTTAGCATGTGGGTAGACTCTTCTGTAGATACTTGTAAGGTCTATTTGATCTGTAATGTCATTTAACTCCAATGTTTTTGATTGTTTGTGTTTGTTTGCTGGGGGCAGTCTGGCTGATCTCATGGTGACAGTGGAGTATTAGGCCACTATTACTACATATGAATTAATTTGTATCTTTTTTTTTTTTATTTTTCGAAGACAGGGTTTCTCTGTGTAGTCCTGGCTGTCCTGGAACTCACTTTGTAGACCAGGCTGGCCTCGAACTCTCGAACTCAGAAGTCTGCCTGCCTCTGCCTCCCAAGTGCTGGGATTAAAGGCATGCGACACCACCGCCCTGCTAATTTGTATCTTGATATCTAGTAGAAAATGGTTCTTTGAAGGTGGATGAGCCTGTGCTCGGTGTGTGTTGTTTAGAATTATATACTCTTGGAGATTGTTCTCCTAAACAGAATGTAGTGACCCTCTTTATCTATGCTGATGAAATGTGGGTTGAATTCAATTCTTTGAGATCCTAGGACAGCACTTTCTGTGTGCTTCTTGGCCCCATTTCCTTGGAAGTCATGTTTTTTATCCATCTTTTCCCTTAAGTTTTTCCTTTTGATGGAGAGAGGGGTATATCTAAGAGACAGAAAAACGGATCTTGCTTTCTAATTTGACTTTGTAGTTCATGCCCTTTGATAAGTGAATTGCAATCATTAAAATTCAGAGTCTCTATGGAATGGTATCTATTCTTGTTGTTTTGTTGGGGTTTTTTTAGTATTTGATTTTTTTTAAATCCTTTTTCCTTAGCAAATGTGTTAGCACTGTTTATTCCTCCCCTCCTCCCGTAGCCTCTTGGTTGCATTTATTTTTATTCTCAGTATAACTAAAGTACTTGCTCCAATATGGTTTGTAGGGCTGCCTTGGTGATTATAAACTCCTTTAGCCTGCTCTTACCATGGAAAGTTTTTTTTCTCCTTAGGTCAGGACAGACCAGTGTGCTAGCCATGTTAAGCTGGGTTGGCAGTTTGCCATCTTTCAGATTTTGAAGTGTTTCCAAACTCTTCTTGGTTCTAAGGTTTTGAATGGAAAGTAAGAAGTGATTTTTACATCTGCGTTTAAATGTTCCTTGGCCCTTCTCTCTTGCAGCTTTCAGTAGACATTTTTGTTCTGTATATTCAATGCATTAACCATGATATAATGTAGGGACTACTTCCTTTTCTGAACACATCTATTTGATCTTCTGTGCTCCTTAATATTTGAATGGGGTTCTCTTTATTTAGATTTTGGACTTATTTTCTATTATTTAATTAAAAATATTTTGTTGCCTTTGGTATGAAATTCTTCTTCTGTATACCCACAATTTATAAACTTTGATTTTTATGATGTCCCCAGGGTTCTTCAATGTTCCATACATTTTTTTTTAATTTATCACTGATCCAGTTCTTTTACTTTGTCTTCAAGACCTATAGTTCTGTCTGTCATACCATCCAACTGCAAAAGCTTTCTGCCATCTTTTTATCTGATCTACTGTGTTTTCTCGCCATTTCCATCACCACTTCAGTTTACAGCTTGATTTTTCTTATTTCTTTTTTATACAATTTTATTTTCATACCTTCAATTGACTTTCTAATTTCATCAGCTGTTTGTATTCTCTTAGAGTATACCTGTATTTCCTTTGAGTTATTTGAACATATTTCTAATCATTCTGTTTCATTTAATCCTTAGTTAAGAGTTTCACCTAAGTCATTTTAATCTGGGACTATTATTATGAGATTGGTTATTTCTGAAGGAAGTATGCTGTCCTTATTTTTCAGGTTACTTGTGTTTTTCTGCCATCTGGGGTTAGACTGATGGTAAAGTATTGTGTTGGGTTTTTTTTTTCACTTCAGGTTGCCTCTCTTACTCCTGATGAGATATTTGCAGTGTTCGGAAGAGATTGTATTACAGTACACTCATTAGTCCTAACGTTTTTATCTGTTAGATTTGTGTCCAGGTGCAAGACTACATTCCTAGTCCATTCTGGTAAATATTTCATTCACGTTCATGTGTATGTGTCTGTGCTTCTAGCATGTGTTTGTGGGTACCCTCAGATGCTAGAAAAGAGCTTCTGGTCTCCTGGAAATGGAGTTACCCATGGTTACAAAGCCACCTAAAGTGAATGCTGAGAACTAAACTCAGTTCCTCTGTGAAAAACAGCAAGCGTCCTCAATCACTGCTGTCTCTCTAGCCACAGATACTTTCTTTCCTTCCTTCTCTCCATTTCTTTCTTTCTTTTCTTTCTTTCTTTCTTTCTTTCCTTCCTTCCTTCCTTCCTTCCTTCCTTCCGTCCCTTTACTTCTTTAAATTCTTTTCATCTTTCTCTTCTCACTTCCCCTCGATAACAATCTTCTTCATTCTTCTTTTCTATCATTTAACCGTACTTCTCTATTTCCCATTCCCTGCCTCCTTTCTTTATCCCATTCAATTAATCCCCCTCTTTATGCCCAAGTAATTTTTAGCTTTCTAGTATATTCTTCAGTAGTTTTTCCATTTAAGTTTAAGAGTATTTCTAAACTCCATTTTGAATAATGTTGTTTTATTGCAATGGACTTTCTACTATTAATAGTACTATGGACTGAAGCAACATGATTACACTGCTCAAGAAGTGGAAGAACAGAAACGTTCAACCCAAAAGGTACCCACAGCCAAACATTAGATGGAGGTCAATGACACTTATGGAGAAGTTGGGGAAAGGACTGAAGGCCCAGAAATAGATGGGAATCCCACAGGAAGATCAACAGAGTCAATAAACCTGTACCCCTGGGAGCTCTCAGAGTCTGATCTACCAACTAAAGACATACACAGTCTAGAACGAGGCCCTATGGCACACATGTAGCTGACAGCAAGCTCAATCTTCATGACTGCACTGTCTGGCCTCAGTGGGAGAGGATGTGCATAATCTGGCAGAGACTTGATGTGCCAGGGAGGGGGGATAACCAGGAGGCCTCTGAGAGGAGAAGAGGAGGGGCTGGGAAGGAGAAACTCCATGAAAGAAGGACAGGGAGGGATGTGGGATATAAGCAAATACATGAGTTATTTTTTTTAAATAGCACTCTCAATAAAGCCAGACAAGCTATCTAAATTAACATATGTGCAAAACACAATACAGAAACATGAAGAAAACATGATTCGTCCAAAATATTGTTATTCCTCGAGTACTGACTTCAAAGATCTGAAAGAGATAAATCACCACAGGAAGAAATCAAAAACCTGGTAAAAATGATCTATGACTTCAAAGAGGATAAAATAGCAGATTAATTTAATTTCAGACTCTAAAAGAAGAGTCAGAAAAATGCAAAAGACACTAGCAAAATAGATGACAAAATCATTAATATAAATGAAAAGGTAAGCAACATGGAAGAAAAATTCAGCAAAGAAATTGTGATTTTAAAAATAAACTAAAATAAAAATTTAAACACTAGAGGTAACATTTTCAATGAATGGAAACACAAGATACAAAGTACGATCAATAGACTTGATCAAGCAAAAGAAATATTACGAAGGATGAAAGACTAGAGTACAAGGTAAATGACATAGTATATTCAAACATTAAAGGGAAAATAGACGAGAAAACCAACACCATAATGTCCAATAAATCCTGGTATCATAGAGACAACACAAAATAAGAATCTAAGTAATTTAAGAAGTTAAGATTTAACTAAAAGTATAAAGCATCTATATCCAATAAGTTACATTAGAAATTTTCCTAAAGCTAGAGATATAGACAACCAAAACAACAGGCATTTAGAAATAGAATATGAAATAGATACGGCCACAGAAGGACCCTTCTATGACACTACACTTAGAAGCATTATAAATGTACAAGGAACAACTACAGAATGGTTCAGTGGGTAAAGCACTGGTCATACAAACATGATGATCTGAGTTCTGATCCCCAGAGTCCACAGTAATATAAGCATCCATAAATCCGGATTGCCCACAGAAAGTAGGAACAAGAGACAGGAGAATTGCTAGCTTGCCTGGTATACAAGTAGTAAACAAGAGAGACTTGTCTGAAACAAGGTAGAAAGTAAGAACCAACACCAACACCAGAGGTTGTCTTCTCACCTCCACATGTGGACTATGGCACATATGCCATACACATACACACACACACACACCTATAAAGAAAAGTTTTATACATGATGCCTTTTTGAATTTAATTCACATGTGTTAACTTGAGATGACAACTTAGGCATTAAAATGTGTATTTTATCATATTGCTACAATCTGCTAAAAATACTTTTAACTGGGACATGACTACATGGTTTGACTTTTCTTTTAGTTTAAAGCTTGTATGTAATTCTGGTAACTAATTCAAGTAATTCTCTACTTTGAAAATCAGTTAAAGTCATACGATTATACTCCAAAGGAAAGAAAAATATATTTTTTGCTCTTTTAGTAAAATGTTTAAATATTCCAGCCTACAAAACCAAAGAAACCGTGCTTGCTTCAGCAGTACATATACTAAAATTGGAACGATACAGAAAAGATCAACATGGCCCCTGCGCAAGGATGACACACAAGTTTGTGAAGTGTTCCATATTTTTATGTAAATAAATAAAATGATTAATATAAAACAGAGAAACCATTATTGGTTCTTTTCTTCAACTATATAAAATAACTAAAAAAAAACAGAAAACTAACAGTATTCCAAATTTTGCCCTCTTTATCATTATTTAACTTTAGAAAATTTCAATTTTCCAGTTAAGACCTTTAGCAAAAAGTAGGTAAGAAATCTGTACCCAAATATGTCTCTGAAAATGTCCAGATCCCACCTTCCAAATGAAGACTGGACATTTTCAAAAACATATTTGGAAGTTAGCTGTAGTTCTCTATGATGTTATGATAGCAAGAGATAAAGTTGGGAGAGGATCTGGATTTCAAACAAGGGTTAATGCATGTTTTAAGGCTCTTTTAATTGTCAAGCTAAAATTGGTTTTGTCTCTTCTACAGTATTTATTGTAAGTTGCATTGACTGTATACTTTCTAATTGTGTTAGTGTGTTGAAACCTGGGATGTCTGTTACAGGGGTCTATCAATCAACTTTTGTATTACTACCCTGAGTATTAGAAAACCTTGATTCCCTAAAAAAAAGCTTGAAAGTTCTGGAAGAAGTGAGTTAGGCTTTAAGCAGAAGCAAGAGGGTAGTGGGCTTGATTATTGCTGATATTACAGCTTTAATTACATAAATTGCTAGCACCACTGCTTCTGCAATAGCTTTGACACAAGAAGTTAAGACAGCTACTTTTGTTAATCATCTAGCAAAAAATGTTACTAATGTGTTGAGTATACAAGAGGATTTATATAGGTGTTTGGAACAAGAGATTGATGCTCTATATCCTATTCAAAATTATTGGAAGGAGTTTCAGGGTTTAAGAGTTAGGAGCCATCTCGAGTGTTCTGACAAATACCACTAGAGTAGTGTTACTTCTAAAACTTACAATGATAGTCATTATAATTAGAAAAAAGTTTAAAGATACATGTAGTGTATTTGGTTTAACTCTAACACCTCTCTGGAAGTTTTAACTTTGCATAGTAAGATTATGAATTTAAAGAATGCTGCTCTGTTTGATGCTGCAGATAATGCTGATAATGCTGATAGCTTGAGGTCAGTATTTCCATTTTGGTCAAACCTCAGGAGTGGCATATATAGCTTGATCATGCTAGCTAGCCCCTTTTGTCCTGGGAATACTTTTATTCCTGCTCATCGTGTTAAAGCTTGTCTCTAACTACATCAACAGGTTGACAGCCAAAGCACGTGACTTGAAACTGAAATTGGAACCCCAGACAGAGTAATTAATTTAACAGGTTAGCAAGTCAAGGACAGCTAAGATTCTGCACAGAGCCTTACCAACCTAAGATATAAGTGCATTGCTTTTGATAATGCATATTACACGATGGGTAAGGAAGGCATTCTTGTCAGAACCACCTAAGACAGGCTCAGTCTGGTTTATGCAATATAAAGGGTGAGATGTGGAGAGCTTTGGGGGCTGCCTGGCAGGAATCTGACATTGGCCAAGGACAAGGAAATGTACTGCAGGCAGGAATCTGACATTAGGCTAGAACAAAGAAGTAATTTCAGGCAGAAACCTAAATCCTAGACTGGAACAAGGAAGTAATTTCAGGCAGAAACCTAAATCTTAGACTGGAACAAGGAAGTAATTTCAGGCAGGAATCTAAATCTTTGGCTAGAACAAAGAAGTAGGCTTCCAGCATAAAAATGACTTTGGGCTAGGACAGGGAAGTAGGTTCAGATATTTTGGTCATCCTGATAAGTCCTTAGAAATAGTGATCACAGGAGGGATCACGGGACTCTGTTTATTGTCCTGCATGTTCTTGACTATCTAGGTTTATTGTCTTGCTTGTTTCTTGAATATTTGCATCTATTATATTGCTAGTTCCACAACCTAGAACTGACCTTAATACTTGCATGTAATTTAAATGGTATAAAAGCAAAAAAAAAGGAGGAGGAGGGATGGGATAGGAGATTAATGGGGGGGGG